ACTTTGGACACATTGTCTGGAGAGAACGGTCGCTGGAGAAGGATGTCATGCCGGGTAAGGTGGAGGGTCAGAGAAAAAGAGGAAGACCCCCAATGAGATGGATCAGTCAGGTGGCATCATTGTTGGCGTCAAGTGTGGCAGCAATAGTGAGGTTGGCCCAGGATCGGACATTGTTTTGTTCTGCTGTGTATGGGGTCGCTATGAGTCGGTTCCAACTCGATGGCACCTGACAACAACAACAATGTCTGACAATATTCTTATGCTCTTTATCATGATTCAATATTCAATATTCTGGTGTTGACAGTGTTCCACTGCTCTTCATAAGGTTTTCAGTGACTAAATAATCAGAGGATTCCTGGTGTGGCACTGTAGGATCAACACTGGACTGTGAACCACAAGGTTGGCAGTTCAAACCCAACAGCTGCTCCCTGGAAACCTTATACAAGGTTGCTATGAGACGGAACCGACTTGACAGCTCTTAACAACAAAAACAACAACAAATATTCGGAAGTAATATACCTCTCCTTCTTCCTAGTCTGGCTTCATCTGGAAGCTCAGCTGAAACCTGCTCACCACTGTTGACCCTGCTGGTATTTAAAATACCCGTGGCATAACTTCCAGAATCACAGCAACACGCAAGACACTATAGTATGACAAACTGACAGATAAGTGGTGGTCTCTGAGATTACCCTGTTATTTGGTAATTTTCTCCATTTAAAACAGTCTGTCTTGAGATCTACTTGACTTCTTAGCCATTTGGGATTTCTGTACCTACACTATTCCTTATTTTTGCTTTGTAGCTGACTTCATTATAAATTGATATCTCTGGTTCTCTGTATTCAGTCTTGTGGTTTCTTTTACTTTAAATACTTCTATATCTAGATAGAATTCCAAGTAGTGTCATATATGTTAATCTCAGTTTTTGTATGTTGTCTGCTGTTCTTGGTTTTCAATCCAAAGAACACCCTTCAGTATTTTTTAAAAGTTGGTCTGGTTATTACAAATTCTTTTAAATTTATGTTTCTCTGGAAATGTTCTAATTTCACCATCATATTTGAGGGACAGTTTTGCTGGTATATTTTCTTGGTTAATAATATTTTTCTTACACAGTTTTGTATATGTCATCCACCTTTTTCTTTCTTGCATGATTTCTGCTGAGAAATCAGAGCTTAGTCTTACTGGCTTTCCTTTCTGCTCTCAGGATTCTGTCCTTGTCTTTAGTTTTGGAAAGTTTAATTATAATATGTCTTGGTGATTTTTTTTTTGGGATTTATCCTGTTTGGGGTTTGTTCAACTTCTTGTATGCCTATCTCCTCATCTTGTATAATGCTAGGGAAGTTTTTCCAACAGCTCTGAGACAATTTCCCTTGAGCTTTTAATTGCCTCCTCCTATTCTAGAATTCTGACCACCTGTAAGTTGTTCCTCTTCATGGTGTCCCACATAATTCTTAGACTTCCTTTGGATTTTTTTCATTAGTTTTCTTGATTGGTCTTGTAGCATACTATTATTGAGAGATTTATGTTCAAGTTCACTAATTCAGGCTTCCAATGCTTTTAATCCATTCCTTTGCCCTTTCGATGTATTGTCCATTTCTGAAATCTTAGTATTAATCATCTGGATTTCTTATTGCAAGTCTTGTATTCCTTGAAAATTTGTGTTTATGTTGTCTGTTTATTCTTAGTGTTTTCCTGAATTCTAAAACTTTTTCTATGTTTTCCTTGCTTTCCTTGATCATTCTACTCAATCCTTTGAAGATACTTAAATATCAAGCTTTTGAATTCTTTTTCAGTACATTCCATTACCTTTTTTCCCTCAGAAATGTTTTCTGGCTCTGCATCTTGGTCATTTTTTTGAGCCATTCTCTCTTGTTTCTTTAGGTGAGGTAAATTTTTCTCTTGTCTCTGGGACATTGTGATGGTGTTGTATTTGTATTTAATTGATGATTGTATGTTCATGTGTTCTTAAGCTCTCACCAACTTTCTCCTACAGGTATAATTAGACAATAGAAGTGTGTGTTCCCTTCTCCATTTACCATTTGTACACCTCAACTTATGGTTGATTTGGCTGGTGTGGTTGCTGTCTATCATTGATCAGGTGGTATAGGAGCTGGTATTGGCTCTTGTCCAGTGACTGGCGCTTTCTCATTGCCTGTGTGTATCTGCTCTGCCAGGCCACCTTCTGTCACCAAAGCAGCTTACAACAGATCAAGGTGGTCATGGCACATCTGGTTGGCCGTTCATCACTCAGTCTCCCTCTCTCACCATTCCTGTTCAGGTTCTCCTTCCAGAAAGCACCCAATTCACTTCTCTAACCTTTCCTCTGAAGTTAAGGGTTCCAGGATTTTCATCTGTGTCTGTTTCATTTGATCTCTTATATCTTTGTTGTAGGGGATTCATGTAGTTCATCTGCCTAGTCTGCCCTCTTGCTGTAAGTCCTTTCTCAGCTGTAAACTTTATGGAAGTAAATTGCCAGGCCTTGCTTCTCTGATGGTTCCAACCACTGGGTTAGCAGATGAGTGCAAATCATTTACACCACCCAAGGATCTTAGAGTAGAGAGGATCAATACATGTTTGTTAAATAAACCAATTATAGATGGATGAATGGATTTAAAAAACAAAAACAACAACAACAACAACAAAAAAACAAGCAAACAAACTAGAGAAAGATACTAAAAATAAACTGTTATTAAAAGGGGATGTGGAGACTGGGGAAATCATCCTCTCCAAGCCTCTGTGCAGCACGGTCACCTGGTCCTGGGTGAAGGGTATATGTGGTTATTTTGGAAAGAGTGATTACATGCTATCAGAAGGGTCCTGTAAAAGGATTCTGGGCAAGGGGAACATGCTGTTTGGTTCTTTCCCAAAAAAGCAAAGGTTGGGATTTGTGGGAAACAGAAGGGTTATTAAAGTGACAAACACCGATTGAACACTTTGAGATGTCAGATGGCACCTTTAACATATATTCTCATTCAGTCTGTAAAACAGGATTTGATCCTGTTTTACAGATGAGGAAACTGAGGCTCAGTGGGAGTAAATAACTCAGTTGGGTCACACATAGAGGGGATGATGGAGCTAAAATTCTACTTGACCTTTTCAACTGAGCATCTTGGCCATTCCTATTGAAGCCAATGGAGGATTCGGCTGGGCTCTTGTTAGTCTTGGACCCATGCTATACACCATGGGGAAGCAACAGTTCTGTTTGTTAGATTTGGACCCAAGCTATACAGTTTCCAAGGCTGTGGCCTGCACAAGGATTCCAGATGGAATCCAGTCTACAGTCCACTTTACAAGCTGTGATCTTGACACTTCCTAATTTGCACCATGGTGCTGTCTGCTGGTCAACGCTTGCACCCAAGGGAAAGCATACACCCAAGTGCCAGAAGGATTGACAGCATAGGAGGAAACAAATCAGAGAGCGGGAAGGACTTGTAATGAATGCTAGGGTGGGTTACCTATGAACATGACTGAGGACTTCCGGAGCGATGGCCTGGAGTTCTTGGCATACTCTAGGCTCTGGCTGAGGAACTTGAAGGTACTGTCTCGGTGAGTGTTTACCTGGGTCAAAAAGAAACCTAAGAGTGCTGGGCCTTCAGAGGCACAAATTATCCACCCAGCCCTCCATAAGCTAGGAATGGTGACCCTGGTCTCCTGCCTCTGAAACATCTCTGCCTCTTACCATCTGCCTGAACCCTCCCAGAGGCCAAGCCTCTTCTCTTCTTAATGCTGTTGTTGCTGTGAAGTGCTGTTGAGTCGGTTCCGACTCATAGCAACCCAGTGTAAGGTTTTCACTGTTGAGTTTGAACCGCTGACCTTGTGGTTCAAACCGATGTTGCAGTCCTGGGCTTACCCTACAGCACCACACCAGGATTCCTCTCAATGGATTGCAACACTTGCTTCAATAGTCTTCCTGTCTCAGTGTCTCCACTTCCAATCCACTCCCACCCACTCCGACCCCACTGCCAGGGAAAGAAAGCTTTAATAGACAAATCCATCCAAAGCTGGGTATGGACATGGCATGTGAGGGACCCAATAGGTAAGGAGACTGGTCTGGTAAGAGTGAAAGAGCCATGTTACTGAATAGTGAGGAAATAAACCACCTGGTTTAGGTGGCTAACAAAGTGCTTAAAAGCCAGGCAGGAATAGGGCTTACCGGTCAGGTGCTGTAGGATAAGGACTGAACCACAAGGTCTGTTTGAACAGCAAGGTTGACAGTTCAAACTTAGCTCCTCAGAAACTCTGTACAGGTCACTATGAGTCAGGACCAACTAAAAGGCACTTAACAACAACATGCATTCGAAAACAGAAAGCCATCGTTCATTCTTGATAGAGCAGTGAGCTAGCAGTGTTTGGAGCAAAATAGTTTGATTCTGAAAATCAGGATGGGTTTCATCAGTACAGATTCTGTTGAAGGAGGTGAAGCGAAACCTGATCTTATCATCCTTCTGTTGACAACCGCTGCATGTCAAGCTATACACCCCTGGGCCTGGTATGTAAAATCTTCATGATCATGGTCTAGTCTACCATTCCTTCCCAGCCCCATCTTCCACCACTGCCGCCTTCTTCTAGGTATGCTATGAACTAGTCCAAAGGCATGGTCCAGCTATCCCCAGATAGGCAGACACCATGGCACCACTTGTTCATGGTAACCTCCCTTCTCTTCTTCACCTGATACATTTTCTCATCCTTTGAGGCTCAGCTTAGAAGCCACCTCCTTCCTGAAGCTTTCCACACCCTCAAACAGAGATCTTCCCATCACTCTTTGAAATTTCTGCAGCACATTGTACTTCCTTTGTCCTGGTAGCAATGACACTGTGTTGGAATTGTTTATACTTGGTCTCCCTCACTGAACCCACAGCTTCCCAAGAGAAAGACAGTCTCACTCAGGTCAGGACCTAGCATGGGTCCAGCAATGCAGAAACTGAGATGTTAAGTAAATGAATAACTGAATGAATGAAAAGGTTGCCAACCCCTTCTTAAAATGAATGTTAGAGGTTGACCCAAAATGAGAAAAGTTTTGATGGTCTGATGCAAGAAGGGACTGAGAATTAAGAGGGGGTCCCAAGCCCAGTCTCTGTTTTTGCAACTCAGCAAATGGTCTGTGAAGTTATGACCAGCATGGCTTTAAATTCACTGTTAATATCTTATAAAAATCTGGTTTCCAGACTTACTGGACCCATTGTGATTGAGGAAACCCTAAAATAATATTGCCCTGAAATAACACTTAAGCCTTGAGCTAAACTTATCCTATGAAGTCACCTTTAAACTAAATAACAAAAGAACATTCCAGAATGCTTAATTGTGTTCATATGGAACCAGTACATAGACCAAGAGGCATTCATTTGAACAGAGCAAGGGATTTTAAAATTAGACAAGGTGTACATCAGAGTTGCATCCTCTCACCATACTTATTTAATATGTATGCTGAGCAAATAATTTGAGAAACTGGACTATGTGAAGAGAACCAGGCATAAGGATTAGAGGAAGGCTCATTAATTACCTGTGATATGCAGATGACACAACCTTGCTTGCTGAAAGTGAAGAGGACTTACTGATGAAGATCAAATAAGACAGCTTTCAGTATGGAAAGCTTTACTCAATGTAAAAAAAACAAAAATCCTCACAACTGTATCAGTAGACAACATCATGATAAACAGAAAAGAATGAAATTGTCAAGAATTTCATTTTACTTGGATACACAATGAATGCTCATGGTAGTAGCAGTCAAGAAATCAAATGGCATATTGCATTGATCAAATCTGCTGCAAAACATCCCTTTAAAGTATTAAAGAGCATAGATATCACTTTGAGGACTAAGGTGAGCTTGATCCAAGTCATGGTATTTTCAATTGTCCCTGGTGTGGTGCTTCAGGTTAATGTGCTGGACTGCAAGGTCTGTTTGAACTGCAAGGTTGGCGGTTCAAGCTCACCAGCCACTCCTCAGAAACCATATACAGGATTGCTATGAGTTGGAACCAACTCGACAGCACTTAACAACAGCAACAACATATGTATGTAAATGTAAAAGCTGGACAAAGAATAAAGAAGACCAAAGAAGAAGGGATAACTTTGAATTATGGAGTTGGGTAGGAATGTTGACTATGCCATGGACTGCCAGAGGAACCATCAAATCTGTCTTGGAAGTCTAGCCGGAATGCTCCCTGGAAGTGAGGATGGAGAGACTTTGTCTCACATAGTTTGGATATGCTGTCAGGAGGGACCAGTTCCTGGAAAAGGACACAATTCTTGGTAAAGTAGAAGGTTAGTGAAAAAAACAGAAGACCCTCAGTGAGGTGGGCTGACACAATGGCCTCTATATAACAATTGTGAGGGAGGGGCAGAACTGGGCAGTGTTTGGTTCCGTTGTACATAGGGTTGCTATGAGCCAGAACCAATTCGGCAGTACCTAACAAGAACAACAACAGTAAAAAAGATGTTTACCTTGAGCAGCATCCTCTTTAAAATAATTATCTGTGAAATTAACTTGACAACCATAACTCTGAAGCACAGAGGAGTTGTTTTGGGATTTATTAATGGTGAAGCAAGATGGGTCAAGATAATGAGAAAGGTAACGCAATAACAAGAATGTAACCAGTATCACTGAGCTGGCCAAACACTTGTGCTAAACCTCTTTCCTTCTCCATTAATTAAATGACAGTGATAATACTAGACACTTGACTATACAAGTTCTGAGTGTTATTGATAACAGTAGTGCCAAGCTCTTCTCTCAATCACATCTGTTACTGTGTATGCTTCTGGTAGATGCTGGAAGGCCCTGCCAAGGTCTCCCTTCAGATATGAAGGATGTATTTCCCTAGCTATGGAAATTGTCTCAGCTGAAGAGAAGTACCTTATCCAAGGTAAAACTCCTTCCCAGGGTGACCAGCATCCAATGACAGATAGAATGAGGGTGTGAAGACCTGGGTCCTGGTGCCAATTTGAAAGGTTCTCACCATAGGATTGACTAAGACCTTCACTGAAACTACATCAACTTCTCCTTTGGCCTATCCTACTTCCTTCTCCATTCTACAGGTGTTGATCCCAAGGATCATCCTCCCTAAGAAACTTCCTGCATGCTAATCTTTGACCTAGAGTTCGTTTCCTAGAGAACCCAACCTATGACAACAGGGAAGGAAGACTGGGACTAGATGTCAGTTTCCCAAAGCTCATACTGAGGCACAGAGTCTGTCTCCTGCAAGACAGTGTTCCACAAATGTATTCACAAGTGTGACCTAAAAGGGGAGCTCTACAAAAGGAGTTCACCCCCAAGTACTGTGGTTAAGTAAGTTTGGAAAACCATGAATTAAATAATGGTGGACACATTTCTACAGCACAGGACCTCTCAGAGTCTTCAATGGACTAAACCCACCAACCCATTGCCAATGAGTAGATTCCAACTCAGTGTCCCCATAGGACAGATTAGAACTGCTCTATAGGGTTTCCTATGGCTTTAAATCTTGATGGAGGCAGACTGTCACATCTTTCCCCCATGGAGCAGCTGGTGAGTTTGGATCACCAAGCTTTTGGTTAAAAGACCAATGCTTAGCCCAGTATACCACTAGGGTTTCTTTTAACATGCTAAAAAGATGACTATATAGTACTTCACAAACTTATTTGCCTTAGAACTTCTTCCCCCCCGCCCCCTCCCATGGGATATATCCTGCACAGGAGAAAGAAGAGACTTTTTGCTTCCCTAAAAATGTACAACCTTGGAAAACCGATTCAGGGTCCCTATGAGTTGGAATTGACTCAGTGGCAGTGGGTGGGGCTTGGAAGTATGTCCTGTGGGACTGGTTTTACAGGAAATATACTCTTGGAAATGCTGTAGAAAAGAGAGCCAACAAAGCTCTTTAATCCATGATATAGTATAGGCAGACTAGTGTTTTAACAAGATCACTCTAGTACCATGTGAGGATTGCATTAAAGAAGCTGAGTTAAATTAAAGGCTGGGAGACTCATAGGAAGACCGGACTCACGGCCCACCTGAAAGATGTTCTTCGCTTGAACTTAGACAGAGACAGTAGGAATTGAGGGGGAAAGATATTTAAGAGAGATTGAGAATATTTAAGATTTGAGGATGGATCAAAAGTGGCTGGGGAAGGGAGATGAAGGACTTGAAGCTGATTCAAGGTTTCTGCTTGGAGGATCCAGAGGGACAGAGCAGAACTGAAATGGAAAATCATAAGTTCAGAAGAGGCATGTTGACTTTGAAGTGCCCATGGTTCATCCAAGGGGAAGGCACGGAAAAGGAAACCCTAGAATTGGGAGAGAAGCCAGAGTTGGAAAAGGATGTTCAGGAGCCAACAATTTATAGGTGGTCCTGGAAATTGTCAGGCAGGGTGTTTGTGTAACAAGAATGAAAAGTAAAGAATCCTCCACCCCCCAATAATAGTAACCAACCACTGTAAACCCAGAAAGCACTCACAAGGTACTTGCAGATTTTGGACACTGTCTTCTGACGGTTGTCCCAGGGCTTTCGGCTGTAAGCTCTTTTTGGCAACTCCCAACCCATGAAGCAAGAACAGCGGAACAGCGTCTTCACACATTTCTAGGGTATAGAAAAAGAATACCAGAGCTGTGGATTTTTGCCTGCCTCCCCCCAATGGATTGTTTCCAATATGGCTTGGTTTCTGTAAAGAGTCATGTCTGTGGGGACTGGGGGTGGCGTAAAGGGGCCCAGTGCCCATGGCACACTCACCTGGCTCACCGTGGTGTTGCCCTCTTGCATAACAAGCAGTAGAGGCACCAATGTGCTGATCAGCTGTTCCTCCATGGACGAGGTGGGTGGGGACCGCAGCTTCTGGACCATCTTTCCATAGAGGTTGATGCATGAGCCGCGCACGTCCTCTCGTGACTAGGGCAAAAGACCAGGCTCAGGGGGTGCCCCTCCTCTGGGAGGCTGACCAGGCCTCTGTCCTCTACCTGGAGCACCAGAACTTTCTTTTCACTCATTTTGAGGAGTCCTCCAGGCACCGAAACAGCAAAGCCACACAGTAGGGCTGATCCAGTGCCAGATTCCTTTTCTCTTGAGCCAGGTCTGAAACTATCCCTGCTCTTCCTAGCCAGGGACCATACAAACCTAAAAGGCACTTTGGTACTCAATGAAAAATGTCACCCTCTTCCAGGACCAATATAAATAGCGTGCCCCCTCTAGGTGGATCAATCACAATGATTCTTTCTGGGAAGACTTGATAGCAAATGAAGAGCTCACTCTGAGAAGACTAGTTAGAGAAAGGGACCTTCTCTGGGAGAGCAAATCAGAAAAAGGAACCGTCTGTAGGCTAATCAATTACAAAGGGAATCTCCTTTGGGCTAAACAATTAGAAAAAGGGATCTGCCCTGGGAGAACTAATTACAACAAGACTTGGACCATTTAGAGCAAGAAGATGCTCCTTGTTCTAACTATTTAGCCCTGGTCAAGTACCACAGTGTAAGCACTAAGGCACTATAAGGCATTGTAGCCCCCAGGGTAGTAAAGAACTGTCCTCCATGGACCACCACCTCTGTCACTTCCCTTCCCAACTAGGAGAGCAACTCCTTACGTCATTGAAGTGTGGCAGCAGGACCTGCAGCATCTCCACATAGACCGAGCAGTCAGAAAGTTTCCGTTCCTGCCCCTTGAAGATGGTCTTGAGGTTGTGGGCTGCCTCCACCACCAACTGCCCGTCTACACTCTGCAGGCCCTTCACCATGGAGGGCAGGAGGGCCTGAACCTTGGCTGTCTGTGGGGCAGGAGTGTCTGAGATCAAGGTTCCTACCTGGGCTAACAAATAGGAGACCCAGTCTCTGATACACTATATAAACTTGCTGAACAAAGCACCATCTGACTGGAATGCCATCATGCAAGCTCTTGCTTCCCACTGAAGTCCTCCCTGGCCTCACTGACTCCTTCCTGACTTGGATGCCTGACGCTCTGTGCTGTCTGCTTCCTTCCTTAGCACTAGGTAGATAGGGGCCTAATTGTTAGTGATCTTTCTGAGTCTGTGGCCTGCCCCTTCATCCTGGCTACATCAAGAGCTACAACTGTTCCTGGTAGAGACAAACAGAGCTATTTTTAAAATGCTAGTGATGCACCAACAATCTGGACCTTCATTTTCTGATGTATAAAATGGGAATAATGACTGCTACCCTCTGCCCCTCATAGGAGCTCTGGTGGCACAGTGGGCCAAGTTTGGGGCTGCACAGATATGAAGTTATCTGCTCCCATAAAGGTTTATAGCCTTGGAAACTCTGTGGAGCATCTCTACTCTGACCTATAGGGTCACTGTGAGTTCACTTTTGCCCCTCATCCTGCCTCTGCTATTTACATGACTAGAAAAATCTGTGAAAAACTTGCATTAGAAATTATTTCACTCAAAAAAGTAAAGCCTATTATTATAGTTCTTGGGTGGCAGAAATGCCTAAGTGCTGGACTACTAACCAGAAGGTTGGCAGTTTGAACCCATGCGGAAGTGCCTCAGAAGGCCTGGAAATCTGCTTCTGAAAGGTCACAGTCTTGGAAACACTATGGAGCATAGTTCTCCTCTGCACACATGGGGTCTCCATGAGTCAGAACCAACTCAACAGCAACTAAGACTACCACATCCATTTTATAGATAGGACAATTGAGGCTGGGACAGAGGATGGGGTTCTGACCTGACTATAAGTATCTGAGAGACTAAGACTAAACTTCCTCCAGCCTCCGGATGGAATACCTGGCTGGATCAGGCTCACCTTCTCAGTCCTGCGGGCCAGGATGACCAGGCCTCGGATAGATAGCACCTTCATGATCGGGTCTCGGTGGCTCAGGCCTTCTGCCATCCGCCCCAGAGAGTACTCCTCAGGGATCCGCCGCACCTGCTCCATCTGGAGGAGCTGAGAGAGCAGACAGGTAAGTTTTGTTTAGCATTAGCCCTTAGTGCTCCCCTGCCCCAAGCTGACTGCCCCTTATTTGGGCCCCTGAGAGCCCCAAGCATGGGGCAAGGGTGATCTACTGGTCTCCCAGTGAGGATGGGGGGAGGGGAGTAGTACATGCAGAGAAATAGGAATCCAAGTACAGTGCATGAATAAATGTTTCTGTCTGGGTCAGCGCTGTCCAATGCAAGCCACTGGCTATCTGCTTCTGTAAAGGTTACAGCCAAGAAAACCCTATAGGGCAGTTCTACTGACTCTACATGAGGTCACCAGGAGTCAGAATCAATTTAAATGTCAACAGATTTTTTTTTTTAATATGCAGATAATGCCCAAGTTTCTATTTCCAGTCTCAACCTCTGCTAAGAGCTTCAGATCTGAAAACCCTACAGTTTACTGGATGAATCCACTGAATGTCCATCAGGCCACTACATGGCAAAACTGAGCATACCATTCGGCTCCCGACTGCCTTTTGCCATCAGGACCTTGTTTGTCTCTGCGGCCTCATGCACACCATGCCCACTGTGTAGTCCACACTCTTATCACTAGCAACCAGCTTCTACCCAAACTGCCTACCATTTCCTAATGACTCAAGCTATCCCTTCTGTGCTGGCAGGATGCCCTTCTGCAGGGATGTACACCTCCACTCTGATCCCCATTCACCTTGCATGGCTTTATCAGAAATTCAACCTCCATCGAAGTTTTGCTTAGCATTATCGCTTAGTTCTCCCCTGCCCCAAGCTGACTGCCCCTTATTTGGGCCACTGAGAGCCCAAGCATCCCCTGAGGCAGTACCTAGAAATTTTTAGTGCCCTCATCTGCTTTTGCATCTATCTCTTCTATCAGACTTGGGATTCCTTGAGGTCAAAAACCAAGCTGTTCATCCTTGGGTTCCTTCTACCTAATACAAGTTTTGGTGTGGAGTGTGTGCTTAGGGAATGTTGTGTTATGAGTTCAGCTCCAACATGAAACTCAGTTTATATCTTCCTTAGAATTGCCCTTCTTCCTGGGTTCTCCTTTGCAGGGTTAGCATAGCCCCCCATTGTCTGAGACATAACTTAGGGACCGCTCTCATCTCTCTCTCATCTATCTCTCTTTCTCTCCATCCGCCCCACCAACAGACTCCTCCTAGTCAGTTCTCCCATCCCCTCATCTGACATCTACCTCCACTACTGCAATAGTGTGTCTGCATGAAGGGAAGGAGAGGGAAAGTTAGGGGTAGGAGTAGGACAACTGAAGGGTAGGAAATTCTCCAGGACACAGAAAAACAGAGGCTTCCTGCTCCCCGTTGACATAATCATCGCTCAGGTCTACTCCACACAGGGCTTTGAGTTTGATTTAAGACACAGAGAAATGAGTAATAACAGCAGTAGTATTTTCCTGAATTTGTGCAGTGTCTCTTATGTACCAGGTACTGTTCTAAGGGTTTTACATGAACTCATTTAATCCTCATCAAAACCATATGAGGTCACACCTATAAATAAGTACAGGTGAAATGGGTGAAAATAGAATTGGTGGGTTGTATTAATGTCAGCACGGAGCTCTGGTAGCATAGTGGTTACAAATCGGGCTGTGAACCACAAGGTCAGCAGTTCAAAACTACCAGCTATTCTGCAGGAGAAAGATGAGGCTTTCTGCTCCTGTAAAGATTTACAGCCACAGAAACCCTGTACAGGGTCGCTATAAGTCGGAACCAACTCCACGGCACTTAACAACAACATTAATGTCAGTATCTTGGTTTTGATATTGTACTATATATCTTTGCAAGATGTTACCATTGAGGCAACGGTACATGGGACTTTATGTGATTTCTTAGGATGCATGTGAATCTACAGTATCTCATAATAACAAAATGTTATTAAAAAACAAGGCAATAGAACTTCCAGAAAGAAGGCAGACTAAGCAGATGCACTACACAATCCCTCTACAACAAAGATAATGAGAGACCAAATGAAACAGACACAGACGGCAATCCTGGAACCCTGAACGTCAGAGGAAAGATTAGAGAGGTGGATGGAGTGCTTTCTGGGAGATGAAGCTAAGCAGGGACAGTGAGAGAGGGGGACTGACTGGTGGCTTGCCAACCAGACATGACGTAACCATCTTGTAAGCACCTTTGGAAACAGAAGGTGGCCTGGCAGAGTAGATTCACACAGGCAATGGGAAAGTTCCATCCACTGGACAAGAGCCAATACCAGCTCCTATACCACATGATCAACAATAGACAGCAACTAACACCAGCCAAACCCACCTAAACTGAGGTGCACAAACGGCGAATGAGAACAGTGCACAGTCTTCCATTCTCTAGCTACACCTGCAGGAGACAGTTGGTGAGAGCCTAAGAACACATGGGCATGCAATCATCAATTAAATACAAATACAACAACCCCACAATGCCCCAGGGATGACAGACAATTTTAACTCACATGAGGAAATAAGAGAGAATGGATCAAACAAATGACTAAGATGCAGAGTCATAAAGCATTTCTGAGGAAGAAAAGTTATTGCAATTAACTGAAAAAGAATTTAAAAGAATGATATTTAGTTACCTTCAAAAGATTTACAGAAAGATCCAGGTTAGCAAGGAGAACACAGAAAAAAAACTTTAGAAGAATTCAAGAAAACACTACAAGAACAAACAGACAAAAAAATGCAAACTGCAATTAGAAATCCAGAAGATTAATGCTAGGATTTCAGAAATGAACAATACATTTCAAAAAAGGCAAAGGAGCAGATTCAAAGCAATGGAAGCCTGGATTAGTGAGCTTGAAGATAGCTGTCTCAATACTACTAACCTTGAAAGAACAATTAGAAAAAAAGAATGAAAAAATCTTAGAAGAAAGCCAAAGAATTATGTGGGACATCATGAAGAAGAACAACTTACAGGTGACTGGAATTCCAGAACAGGAAGAGACAATTAAAAGCACAGAGAAAAATGTTAGAGTTGTTGGAAGAAAGTTTCTCTAATATTGTGAAAGACAAGAAGACTAGCATACAAGAAGCTGATTGAACCTCAAACAGGATAGATCTCAAAAGAAAATCACCAAGACATATATCATAATCAAACTTTCCAAAAGCAAAGAAAAAGAAAGAATCCTGAGAACAGCTCAGGAAAAATGAAAAGTTACCTACAAAGGAGAACCAATTAGACTAAGCTCTGATTTCTCAGCAGAAACCATGCAGGCAAGAAGGCAGTGGGATGACATATACAAAACTCTGAAAAAAATTGCCAACCAAGAATCATATAAATTACAAAGCTGTCCCTCAAATACAGTGGTGAAATTAGGATGTTTTCTGATACACAGAAATGAAAG